CTCGTAGCTGTTTTTTTTTTTGTGTTCCGAAGATGAACGAAGGTCTTACGGGTTTCGAACAACATGAGGGTGAGTAATTAATGACAGAATTTTCATTTTTGGGTGAACTAACCCTTTAAGGTCTATTTACCAAACTACATCCTCTGTCTAAATGAGTATTTTTTTCTCCACCCACAATCAGTCCGACCTGTTTCAAGGGGATCTGTACCCAGATACGGCGGGATTAGAACCCGCTCTACTGGCAGAAGATTGGATAGCAGGACAGGACGCTCCTTCAATCCTTGTTTCCCTGAGTGGAGGCTACACGGCCCCTCCATCCAAATGTGGCACGCTCCGGGGTCGACCCAAACTGCTCTCTCAGACCAACACTAGTCCCACCAGCACCACTGCGCCAGCAAACCCTATGGCGGTTGAGATGGAGAGCGAGGGGTTGGGCCATGGACAAGGAAGAAGGGATGTAGATGGAGGCACAGAGAGAGTAAAGAAAGAGGTGAATGACAAGTTTAGACATATTTTGTAGCATAGATAGATAGATAGATAGATATACATTTTAAATTATATTAAAATAGAATTAGAACTGTTTTCATGGTAGTGTGTATGTAAATTTACACACTACCATGAAAACAATAATTTTCTGACTATTTCTATTTTAATATATTTTAAAATGTCGTTTATTTATGTGATGGCAAAGCTGTCTTTACTGTCACTGTTATATAGATATAAAAACAGTATTGCGAGATATAAGCTTGCGGTTCTGAGAAAAAAAACAGAATTGTGGGATATAAACCTATAATTCTTAAAATTCAGAGTTTATATCTCACAGTTCTGAGTTTATATCTTGCATTTCTGTTTTTTTGCCGTGGAATGTAAAATAAAGGTAATTGCGACTATTCATCTCAACATTTTGACTTTTCGTCTCAGAATTGCAAGTTTATAAACATGCAATTGCGAGTTAATTTTTTTTAACTCGCAATTAAAAAAATTCTCTTTTTTCAGAATTGCTAGTTTATATCTTGTAATTCTCAGTTCATGTCTCATAGTTCTAAAAGAGGAAGAAATGTGAGATACGAACTCAGAATTGTGAAAAAAGCTAGACTTGTGAGATAAAAGGTCGAAGATACTTTTATTTTGTGGTAGAAATGCGATTTCATACTTTTGAGCAATTGAATTGATGAATAAAAGTGTTAATTTCTTATATTAGATCTTAATTTTTATATTTTAGTGCTGGGCAACAATTAATTGCGATGAATCGCATCCAAAATAAAAGGTTTTTTGTACATAATATATGTGTGTGTACTGTGTATATTTATTAGTCACTAAAATTATGTGTTTGTGGGCGGGGTCAAGTTGTTCGATGTAGAACATTGGCGGGAATTATGCAAATATCTTACCCTATGACGTGTAGCCTTCACAGAAGTGAGATTCGAATTACTAACGACTCGTTTAGGCTGTAGAGAGTCGATTCTTTATTTTGGGAGACAATAACTTTATTTATCGTGCACTTTCGGAATTACACACTGCATGAAAGACAATATTGGAAATGGCATAATAGGGGCACTTTAAGAAAAATGTTATGTTTATATATTAAATATATTTATATATAATATTAATCATTAATTATATGATTAATCATTGCCCAGCACTATATTAAATATATTATTTATATGCCTCAAGTTTTGACTTGATACTTGCCTGTTTATTTTAAAGCCTAAATGTGAATTTTTATGCCCAAATGTGAAAGCTCAAATGTTTTTCTTTCTTGCACAGGAGGACCAAGTTTCTGATATCCTGACAGAGATTCGGGCATTGCGTGCTCTGGTTCTGGCTCAGGGTCACAGGATCGACGTCCTGGAAAGGCAGCTCGCCCGTATTGAGGATGGAGAAGTGTGAAGGAAACTACAAACATATCACAACACATAGCCTTACCCAGATTCAGAAAGCTTCACTGAAGGGTTATGGGAAATGTAGTTCCATTACTGTGGCGCAGAGATACAAAGACATAATTGAGCTTTGAGTTTTGAGCTTTATCGGTACACTTTGGGTTTTAATGCACTGATATTAATATTCTAAATGCTGCTCATTTTGTGCTTTTAATAGGGCTGTTACATCAGGTACTTACTACTGCTAACTACAAACTTTGAAGTCTGAATTTGGTTGGGTCAATAATTTGCATAATCATGCAAACTTTAAATGAAAAGCAGACTTGATAATCTCTTGTAGCCTAGCCTCAGCATTTAGAAATGCTTCTACTTAATGAAAGTAGTTTGAATCTTGAAACCTTCAGGAAATGTAATAATCCAACATGCTGAACTGATTGCTTTCTTTCACTAAAGTTCGATGGTGTTAATCAACATGCGTACATTGACCAGCACTGTTCTTGGGTTTAGCTGCCCTCAACAGCTCCTCTCTTCCATTTGTATGTCTTAACACTCGTAGCATTGATTTTGGATGTTGTTAAAGTTTAATTATGTGGATATGTGAGTAGCATGTTATAGTAACTGTACTTGGTGTTGAAGGAATTTGTGAGCTTTCAATATAATGAAGAAACTTTAGAGCAAGAGTTTCCGAAATGAAATGCTGGTCTTATAGGAAGAAAAATGTCCAGGTCAAATTTCACCCAAAAGCCAAAAGTATAATAAAGTATAATTAGTATAATTAAATGTAATGATTTTTATTTGACATTTTCACCACTGATTTAAGTATATTCTGGATATTGTAATTATAATTTTGTTCATTCATATTTTTCAGAATTAATCAATTTTGGTTATATTCCTTATAATCTTTTTACCATATTGCAGTAAAAAAAAATTATTTTGCATTTTATTTTATTTTTTACATTTAAACCAGAGTAAATTTAAGGCAGTACAACAAATACTACTATGATATATTATTGAGTTTTACAATATGGTAATCCAAAATATGCCTTATTGTCTTGAAAATGAGAAAAATATATATTTTCTTTTTTTTAAACCATAATTATCATTATATATATCATTCCTTTGATTTGGGGTGACCTGGACATGTTTTTGGCAGGTTTGTTTGAGATTCATTCTGTACCTCTCGATAAATAATTGTGCTTCATTCCTGTTTGATTGAATCTGAAAAATAGTAGTAGAATGATGTGATGTTGATAGGTTTAGATGGTGTTGTTTTTGTATTTTTTTTTTAGTCTTTAATCATGGGCACTACAATCAGGGATGACTCAAACCGAGGGTCGACTCATCCTCCTCTGTGAATGATTTTGTTTAAGTCTAGCTTTATCAGCTGTATATGTTGTAAATTATCTAAGCATCCATTTACTTAAAACTTAAGTGCTAACTGAATCTGTTCTTTTTAATAAACAACATTCACCCATTTCTACTGTATATAAGTTGGTTTGATTATTCATCGCATTAACAAGCACTTACAAATTTTACCATCAGGCCTGTGGTTGAGGTCAAAACGAAATGTTTAGTGCTAATTTTAGAAGTGAAAGGCTACTTACTACCTTAGTGCTAGACAGGAATATCTACTGTAAATGTGCACATTTCCTGGCTAATTTGGAAACTAAGTAGTAGTTAAAGGGATAGTTCACCCAAAAATTGAAATTCTGTCATTAATTACTCACCCTCATGTCGTTCCAAACCCGTAAGACCTTCGTTCATCTTCGGAACACAAATTAAGATATTTTTGATGGAATCTGAGAGCTCTCTGACCCTCCCATAGACAGCAAGGGTACTACCACGATCAACGTCCAGAAACGTAGCAAGGACATCGTTAAAATAATCCATGTGACATCAGGGGTTCAACCATAATATTGGTGCCATTTTGGAGAATATCCACTGAATGCAAACAGCGTATGTTGTTCTGTGTCAGCTGCACCACGCAGATACGTTTTCTACATTGTTTGTACTTGATTTGAACGAAAACAACGTATCCGTGTGGTGCGGCTGACACAGAACAACATACGCTGTTTGCGTTCAGTGGATACTCTCCAAAATGGCGCTAGGGTGACGCTGAGGAGACGAATTGTTGAATAAAGTCTTTTTTTTTTTTCTTTTGGGCACAAAGAGTATTCTCATAGCTTCGTAATATTACGGTTGAACCCCTGATGTCACATGGATTATTTTATATCACCTTGCTATGTTTCTGGACCTTGATCGTGTAAGGATCCTTGCTGTCTAGGTTAACCAAGGCTGATCTAAATTCTAAAACTAAAATGGAATGTGCAGTGACATTAAAAACTAATTTGAGGAATACTTGACCAGCTATGATTGAGAAAAATATTTTTCTCGAACCAAATTTGACCTGCATCTCGACTCCGCGGCCCTTCTCACATATAACTGTAACTTGAGGCGAGAGCATGTCCAAATGGTATTTTTAAAAACATGAAGGGCTAATATCAAAGATTATGTCACGATATGATTGCAGCTTTGGAGGTGTTGTTGTGTAACAAACAGACATCGTCTGTATCAAGGCTTTTGTTACATTGCGCATTGCTTCTCTGCACTGCACAAGCAGTGAGGCATACTTGTTTTCATGGTTCATAGCATCTTTAAACTCGACATTTACAACAGGATGTGGTCTGAGAGAGACTCGTGCTTCATCGCTCAAACTCTAGCTAAAGGAAACTATGTTCCACTCAACTCTTCCTGTGCGGACTCCATATACCAGATATCTTTGAACATGCTTTCTTTTGAAATATTTGTGTTTAACTATAAAATGTGCATATTTAGTCAGTTAGGTTTTTAGATCAGATGATCATTCTGAAGTTCAAGCCAGATGTATTATTTTTACATTCATATGCATATTTCATTATTAGCCTACATTTACCTCAAAATTACCCACTAAACTAAATTTGAGTAACCGTTAAATAAGTCAATTAATTAAAAAAAGAATGAAACAAAATAATAAACAGATATTGAAAAATGGGTTTAAAATGTATATTTTACATCAAAATCAAAGTTGTCATCACCCACACCCTAATGGCAAGTGGCCTCTCTCTCTCTCTCTCTCTTATATGATCATGACAGATTTGAATGTTCTATTTTATGCTCTCGTGGGCTATGGGTTTAAGGGCAGTTGAATAAAGGTGAGTTATTATGACTAGATTTGTAATGTGTTTTCTCATTTGTGCTATAATTTCGATTTGTATTGCCATGTGGTGCGTATGATTTTATTGACACTATTTATGAGCAACATTTCTAAAATCTATATACAGACATGCTCATAAAAGACAATCACAGAGAATCTGCTGTTCAACATTACTGTTCTATTTTCACTTGCGACCTAAACAAATTGTATTTTAGAAGCATATTATGCATGGGGTTTAGGGAAACATGTAATGCAGGTTGTTTTAAACACAACAATTAATTACTTAATTTTCCCTTCTTTGGGTATTTGTCATTTGATCCAATCTGGCACACGATTTTGGCAGTGAGACACATTTGCCCGTGCAAGACAATTGCTGTGATCCAATTGAGCACATGCACAGCTCCATTAGCAAAACTTGTGAATAGCTGTTAAGTGGATTGAAGCTCATTTATTTAGACATTAACAGGCAGTGTTAGGGTGTATAAAAGGTGTCATAGAGAAGTGCATTGCAAAAGTAATGCAAGCATGCTTACTTCCGTGCTACTGCACTTCTGAGGCTTTACTATCAAACAGTGTATGGCGGGAGCTGCTGTTCGTGTGGGCAAATAAGCCACAGGTTATTACAGTCTATGAAACATGTTGCATGTTGCTGAATACCCACACTCTCAGAAAATTAGGTACAAAGCTGTCCAGGGCGGTGCCCGAGGTACAAAAGCTAAAAAGTACCTCTTTGTACTTTATTTACCCCTAAATGGTACATATAAGTACCTTAAAGGTACATATTAGTACTTTAAAAGTGCATAGTGGTACTTTAAAAGTATGTATGTACTGAAGTACAGTAACGAAGTAAAACTACTCCGTTACTGTCCACCACTGTGTATTAGTACCCAAAGTATACAAAATGGGTACCGTCTTAGTGACAGTTTTGTACCTTTTTTTTCTGAGTGCAGCCAAAGCTCAAACACCAGGGTTATTATAGTTTAAAACTAAAAACATTTAAAAATTTTTTACTTGAAATAAAATAAATGTTACTCTAACTAAAGTTAATTATATAAAATAAATATACTTATTTTATTTCAACTAGTTGCCAGAGCAACATTTCTCATTCTATTTTCATTTTCAGTTTAACAATGTACTAAAATAATGAAAACTAAAAATGAAACAAAAATGAATAAAAACTATATGGACTGAAATGACAAAAACACGCAACAAATTTGCTTAAAAACTTAATAAAATGAAAATGGAAATGGAAAATACAAAAATAAAAACTTATCTAAAATATTTATAAATATAATAGTATATTGATACTAAAATAACACCGATGAAGACACTGTGCATTGCTATGTATTCTTGTACACTGCAAAAATTGGTGTAGAAACCATTTTCGCTCAAAAATTGCTAGTAAATTTCAGAAATAGTTGCAAAGAAATGCAAGTGACTCATTAAATTTGAAAAATTGAAGTAGAAAGAATTAAATAGTATTTTCTTGCCAAACTTATTCCAATAATCTTTATTTTCAACTTCAAAAAAGCATTTTTACAGTGTACTGAGTCCAGAAATGTGGTTTTTACTTGTATATTGTATTGAAATTCAAGTATAATTTGAATAAATGTATTATTTGGATTTTTAAAAACATATTTAATTAAATGCATCATTTGGAATTTGATAAATGTGTCATTTGATTCAATTATTGCATTAATTGTCCGTCTCTTTAGTCATGGCACCAGACACGAGTAATAATGGAGACAATACCCCAGCTGTCATCGCCCTCCTCTTCATATGGATCATACTTGTTTTGGCTCTTTTGTACTTTTATAAAAAACTTAACGCGGACACAAATGGACAGTACACCGTCCAGCGCATAGTCTTCGCCCCTGGCGGCCTACGGGATCGATTGAGACAAGGAGTCGGGGTTGTGGAAAACAGACTTGGTGTCCGCATTTGGCCTCAACAGCGTGATGACGAGGAGAACATAGGAGGTCATGACGAAGAGGATGAGGAGGGTGAAGGACAGGACAAACAGAATGACAGTTACACAGAGGAGGGAGAGCAACAGGAACATGACGACGACAGGGATGATTCTTCAGATGACTATTCCAGCGTTGACCTGAGGGAGAGGGCAAAGATGCAGATGGAAAAGATAGAAGAGAAGGATCAAGCTGAGGAAGACGAGGAGGAGGCAGCAGCAGCGGCAGGAGAGGAGGATAGAAGTGAAGAAGTGAAGAATGCAGAGAAAGTGGAATTGCTTGTAGATCTGAAGCCGTTTAGAGGTAGTGCAATTTGGTCTGAGGAGAAGAACGATGAAAATGACTTGACTGCTTTGTGAAAAGCACAGAGACATTGCTTTTGAATTTAATAGGTGGGAAATAAGGTGGCTTGGCCCAGTGGGCGGCACAAATTTTTTTGTTATAACTATGAGTCAGTTCAACCCTTTAAAAGCCTGCCATATGATTTTTTTTTTTAATGTAAATATTTTTGGACCTTTAGACAAGCTATTTCAAACACATTTTTAAAAAAGTTTTGTTGTTGTTGTTGAGTATCATATTTGATACATCAAACATTGGCTGATATTTATATGGAAAAAGTATAGCGTGTAATGTAAATCAATGAGATGTTTCTAATAGTATATAAGACTACTTACATAAAATGCATGTAAATGTCAGTTGTCACTCATAGTAAGATGCATTTAAATGCTTAGTTTTATTATCCAACCTCTATAGTTTTGTATTTTGGGGGGCAAAACATATAATGTAATGCAATATAATGATGATTGAGATATGTACAAATAAACATTCCTCGAACGATTGTTTTATCATATTAGATATTCACATTTTAAAATGATCTTTCTAAAAAATGATGTATGAATAATCAAGAAAACATACGCTGATTTAGTCCAGTAAGTGTTCATCTTGAAATAGCCTATTACTATTCTTACGTTTCAAAAATTTCACAGTAAAAAGACATGTATCAACACTGAATGGGGGTGTTTTTTACAATAAAGGACTTTTATTTGCTAAAGAATCTATAAACTATCATTCAGATGACAGAAGGCATATAGTAGATTGTGTGCAACAGGTTCTTAAGCTTAATGTTGGTCATGTTGATAATTTAAGGAGATTTGCACTTCAAATATGAAACAGCAGGCCTTATAGTGTTAACTTTAAAAGCCAGTAAAACGGTTCCACAACATTTTCTGTAAATAGTTGTTAGTTTTATCCACTTCCTGTTGTTGTTTTTTCCAAATGCAAATGCTGACTGTGTGAAAATACATTGTGAAACTTGTTAACATTTGTGAGATGTAAATATTTTTCTATTAAAAAAATATTTTCATGTCAATACAGTTATTGTCAAAATTGTTTCGTGTTTTAATATGACCTCACTGTAACCACTAATGTGTGATTCTCACAAAACCCATCAAGAACACGTGTAGCGCATATCAAATCATGAGAAATCATATTTTGTTTCAAGAAAATTAAGCCATTAAAATGTCCATTGTGATGAATGTGACTGATTTGCCCTGATATAGCATTAGGGCATCCAACCAGCCATTTTGAGGCTACAACCCATGAACCACATCTCTTATCGTTTTTTGGTCATTTTAAACAGGGGTTACGATGATAAAGAATGCATATTTGCTAATTGTGTGAAATAAGACGATGTCGGCTTTTTAAAGTCATAAATTGAGATGATACTTGAATTATGCCATTTAACTTATAAAGTACAATCACACACTCATAGTCCTGGGAATATTTCTTTAGTAATGAAATGAAAATAATGAATTCAATTTCCCATTGGCTACATCAGAGGAGCTCAAGCTCCACCATATAATACATACCCATATACTACATATAGATATCAATAGGTTATTTCACGTTTTATAACTATAGCCACGATTTCCGCGAGGAGAAAACCGAGGGGATGTAGCTCAGTGGTAGAGCGCATGCTTCGCATGTATGAGGTCCCGGGTTCAATCCCCGGCATCTCCACTTTCCTTTTCTTTCAAGAAGACAATAGCGGAGTCGTAAAAACGCGAAACACTAACACAAATTTCACTTTAATCTCATTTTATGCGATGACAATCGCTAAATTTACAGATTTGATATCTGTAGAAAAACATCGACTGCACGTACGTTTGGTAAAATTTGGGGAGGAGATACTTGAGTCGGAAGTTGCACTCCTGCGCTGACCATTGGTCGGTTAAACGCCAGTGGGCGTCAACATCGCCACGCCATTGGTCAGTTCAGCCCCAATGGGCGTGACCACAGGCAGACGCACGCACGCAAACAATCGAAGAATCCTGCACATTCCTTACTGGAATAAGAATAAGATTTAAATGTCTTTACATGGCAGTAGGTAAACGAGTCATGTCGTTAAGGAGATCTTTAACTGCGCGTTGCGTCGACTATGCGTTTTACAGCAAAATAATGCAATAATTCGATTAGCATTTAATCTGGGACTAACGTTATTGTTATATCGCACGGATACTTTTTTGCTCAAATTAAGATGGATTCGCCCAAGGAATTACCTCCTTCTTCAACGATCTGAATGCAAACGAGTAAACACGAACGATCTCTTATTGGTGAGTGCTTGCATGTCTTAATTCGTCGCATTTGGGAGAAAACGGGCCTTTTGCTTTGCACTGTGCTTGCATCGTGCACGTTCTGTTAGAAAATATGGGTTGTGAACAGGTTTTAATTGACAGATAAAACAAGTAACCCCATCACAAAATGAAAGGCTACTATTTTATATATTTTAAGAGAGGGAATATTAATGATGGCGAACAGATTTAAAGATCCTCTTTGCCGATTCCTGTATCGAAGTGGTAATTTTTAAGGATGCAATGGAAGAAAATGCCTTACTAAAATGGCTTGCATGTAACAACATTCTGTGGCAAGCTGTATTATCATTTAACGTCTCTTGTCTTTTATATTACTAATACTTAATTTTATTATTAGTAAGTACCTATTTCAACCGTAACTGTTTCTTTTTCACTATTACTAGTACTTCATGTGTTATTGGTCAATATTCTACAAGTGAAAAGTAACGTCTGCTTGTAACAAATTGCATATTTTTGCTATTGAATTCTACAGGTATCTGTGGATCATATATTAATTATTTACTATTCACTCATTGGTTCTTATTCCAGTTGTTGCTAGGACCTGTTACAGGTTTTTCTTTTCTCCTGGCAGCTAAATAGACATGAACACCTGCTTATTACACACCAAATTAGAGTGTATTCCAATGGTTGCTTGTAACATTTTAAACTTACTATTAAAGTCAATACATATGACCAGTAAAAAGCAAAACAGTGACTAGTGAGGTGGAAATATATTTCTATTATCAGCTTAAATATATACTAGGTACCAGTGTCTAATATAATTACATACTAGTAAAGCTGCAATAGGCAATGATACTAGTACTAGGTAGTAATGATAGTAACAAGAAGGAACGAAATACGTAATATACATGTTATTAGTGAAAATGACATGTGTACCAGTCATCTTTTGTTTACTGATTGAAAAACATGCACCAGAAACAGAATATATAGTAGTTCGTTTAGAGGAATAAATGTTAAAATGGCTTGCCACAGCGTGCTGCATAACATTCCCTTTGTGGTCAGATGCATCGCTTGCTTATAAACGCACCTGTGCCGTACACGGGAATTAGTCGCTGCAAAATAATGAACTGAGTCAAGACGCTATCAGATGTCATTATTGTGGACGTGATTTCATTTTCCTCGCGTAGGTATGAGATGTTGTTAGCCTCGGCCGTGGTCGTCTGGGAATGGCTGAACGAGCACGGGCGCTGGCGACCCTACAGCCCGGCGGTGTCCCATCACATCGAGGCGGTGATCCGCAGCGACCCTCGCGGCGCCGGGAGCGTGGTGCTGGGCCAGGTCGACTCGCGTCTGTCGCCGTACATCATTGACCTGCAGTCTATGCACCAGTTTCGGCAAGATACCGGTGAGAGGGAACGATATACTACCTGATTTTATCATGCATCTTCTAGCACATCCATTGTATTTTATTAATATGGTTCCTTTACTCTGAGATCAATCAAATGCTCTAATAATCTCAGCTCTGTATTGTGATGGCTTGAAGGCAAACGTCTGCAGATGTTCTGGAAGCTCAGTGTGCTATGAAAATGTTTGGGCTGGGCCTCAAAACCTTCATTTCAGCAACAGCCTCTTCATTTTTTCAAGTCAGATCACTGATATCAGTTTTCAGCTTCATGTTTGTAATTCACACTTGTTTATGTGTCATTCCGTGTAGAGTTCAATTGGCTCTGCCATGAACTCTTAATGATTTTTGTCAATGCACACGAGTGCTCTGCTGGCGAGAAGGAACGATTTGAACCTATAAGGGGCAACGTGAAGCCGAAACAAAGGGGTGGATTGTTGCCTGTCAGAATTTTGGGAGTCTCCATCACCCATGCTGACAAAGCCCATTGTGCAGGACTGACTAGACTTCATGGGAAGATGGAGGAATGGAGAGAATAGGGTCGGCGAAAGGTAGCGGCCCATCGCTCCAAAAACACGAGGGAGGAGGAGATGGATAAATGAATGGTAGTTGAGCGAGGACATGAAGGGGGGTCGGATGGATAACCTTTGTGTTGTTGGACTGTCAAATTTTGAGACTAATTGGACTGTAGCACAGTTCTCTTGTACTTTGGAATCTGGAACAGACATAACAAGGCTTTATTTGTTTTTAGTATGTGTGAAATATATTCTAGAGGTTTGCTTTGGAAAGACTTAACAAAAGTTATCTTGTGCTGTCGGTGTATTGTCACAGCTGTCGCTCAACTGTTGTAACATCCTTGACATTTTAATATGCGTATCTTTGCATTTGGCATTGTTAAAGACTCATTTGGCTGAAAACCCGAAACTGAAAATAAAGTTTCGATAATTCGGTTTGGGTAACTTGGTAATTGAACTCTGTTCAGGGTGTTGTGTTCTTAGATGATAAATTAAAGCAGGTGTAGTAAAGTTCTTCTGCAACGAGCCACAAGCTTCTGCAACAAGCTTGATATCACAGCCTAAAATATTACATGTAATGAATTGCTATTCTAGCATCGTTTTCAGTCTCTATTAACTATGTCCACACGGCTGACATGTTTACAAGTTTGTTTCTTTTTTACAATGTGTGCACAAAAAAAAAAAAAAGACACTGACACAGTCAAAATGCATCGGAGAAGCTTTAATTAAACGGCACTGTTTTTGTCAATGATTTCAAGAATTATTTATTTATTTTAGGACTGTCAAACAATTAATAGTGATTAATCGCATCCAAAATAAAAGTTTGTGTTTACATAATATATGTGTGTGTACTTTGTATATTTATTTGTAAAAAGTATAAATGTATGTGTGTGTATGTATTTATATACACATAATAAATATACACAATACACATATATTATGTAAACAAACTTTAATTTTGGATGTGATTAATCATTTGACAGCCCCTTGTATGTATTGATTGATTGAGGATATTTGGCAGAATATTTTTGGTTGCTGAAATTTTGGTGTACTAAAATACATCTAATGTTTGCATTCTTGCTCTCCAAGGTGGATCAATTAATAAAGGTGACTTATCTTATACACGCATATACAATTTAATAATACACTCCCATTGGGGGGGGGGGGTTTGTTGTGATACTTCCATTCATCTTCAGAACACAAATATATTTTTAATATTTTGTCATCATCTTTGCCCACACAGCCAAGATATTCATGCATTAAAAGTACAAGAAGACATTGTAAAAGGAATCCATATGAATCAAGTTAATCAATTTAATCCAAGTCTTCTAAAGAGAGAAAAATGCTTTATATTATGAACAGATTTAATTTAGGATATTCATATACACTGAAAACAGTTTGGTGGTGCAACAATTTTCACAGAAGTTGCTAGTCAATTTCACAAATAATTACAAACAGTATTACAGTATTTAATTGTGACGTATACTTCAACAATAATGTTTTTATTTATAGCTTCAAAAATCATTGTGTATAAACACTGCTCAATGGATATACATAGAGATTAAAATATAAACATCAAATTATAATGTAAGTTCATAATAAAATAGATATAGATCATTTGTGTTCCAAAGATAGTAGTATTATGGGTTTGATACAAAACGAGGGTGCCTGGATGATGACAGAATTAAAATTTTTAGGTGAACCAATCCTTTTACCTTCATGTCAAAATTCCTGTTTCAAGGAAATACATTAAGACAGGAATAGAAACTGTACTCATCACTCATCTCTGCTCTTCCTTACAGGTACGCTAAGACCCGTGCGGCGAAGCTTCTACGACCCGCGGTCGGCTCCGGGTCAGGGATGTGTGTGGGAATGGGAGAACGACTCGGGCTCATGGACGCCGTACGACACCGAGGTCAGCATCGCCATCCAGGTGGCTCGGGACCGGCAGCAGCCCTGGCTGGACTTAACGCCACTGGGCTTCTGCTACCTTATAGACCTGCAGAGTATGACACAGATCAACGGACAGACGCAGCGGCGCCGGCGCATCCAGAGGCGCTCAGACCTGGCCTACCCGCTCGTCTCCGGCCCGCTGCCTAAACCGCACGCGTGGTCATCCGCTGGAAGCGGTGGACTCCTGGGGGTGGGTGTTTCGGGGGTCAGCGGAGGGAATGGCAGTGCCTATCCCAGTGGAGCTCTCCCAGCTTCTGCTATTACTTCACTGGGTCAACCGTGTTCCTGCCAACAGTGTATGCTAGTCTTAGGCATCAAGACCCCTAGCATGGCACAAACTCTCGGGCGGAAGCCCCCGCCCTTACCCAAGCCGCCGAGCCCAAAAGCGTCATCAAGAGGACACTCGTACTCCCTTACCCTGCCTCACCCTCCATCCCTGTCCCGAGTCCTCTCGCCACATAGGAACTCGACCTCGGGTGCTAGCGGAGGCTTTGGACACTCCCTCTCCCTGCTGGGCTCAGCCACTGCCGCCATGTCGATATCCTCCAACCGTCCTCCTCCACCTGCTGTGCCGCCACCCCCGCCGCCTTCCACCACACCCCACATGACCTCGGCGCCCAACCCTACTGCACCTACACCCTCCAATGCCCTTATATCTACAGCGACCACCTGCGCTCCCACGCCCTCTGCTCGTGTTCTGGGTCCCGTGTCGACGGCTTCAGCCGCTTGTGCCGCTCCAGTGCCACCTCGCAGCAGTCTGGCTGGCCTTAGCCGCCCCGCCCTGCAGAGAATCGCCATGGCACAGTCACGGGCACTCATTGCATCAGGGTAAGTCATCACGACTGGAGCTGTCTGTGATTGTAAATGAAATGATACTTTGCTTTTCTAGGGATCATGGCCGTTTCTAGGTGGTAACCTTAACCGTGACAGCTGCGATTGTGAATCTCATGAGCGTTTCACAGAATGAGGTTTACTATTTTCCAATGATGTACACTAGCCTTCAAAAGTCTGGGGTCAGCAAGATTTTTTTTATTCACTCTTATTAAGCAAGGACTCATCAAACTGATCAAAAATGACAGTAAAGACTGTTAGAGTGTTACGGAAGATTTCGATTTCAAGTAAACGTTGCTCTTTTCAACTTTCTACTCTTCAAAGAGTCCTGAAAAAAATGTATTTCCACAAAAATAATAAGCAGCACAACTGTTTTCAACGTTTATAATAACAAGAAATGTTTCTTGAGCATCAAATCAGCATATTAGAATGATTTCTGAAGGATCATGTGACACTAAAGACTGAAGTAATGGTGCTGAAAATTCAGCTTTGCATCACAGGAATAAATTTAAAATCTATTAAAATAGAAAACTAGTATTTTAAATAGTAATATTTGTTTGAGTTTTTTAAGATTTATTTTTGGCATATTGCCTTTATTAAAGGGGTCATATGATGCTGCTAAAAAGAACATTATTTTGTGTATTTGGTGTAATGAAATTTGTTTATGCGGTTTAAGGTTAAAAAAACACATTATTTT